GGGGGGTGTAAGAAGGGGTTCTTCGTTGTTGTTTTGTTGATTGTTTTTTGTTTATTATTTTTTTTTTTGGTTGTTCTGTTGCTGATTTTGTGAAAGAGTAAAATAAACGAAATATGTAAGACAATGACGACAGAGTGTCATGGTAAAACAAACACTGGGTAGTACCACCACTCGGAGAACCAGCGACGCTTCTTTCGCAAGTTTACGCTAACGCCCATTTTTACTTCGTTACAGATTAGGTATATATGCTTATAGGTTATGACGGATCACAGGTTTCCCTCATCAGCAGTTGAAATATATTTTTACCCTTTGGTCAACTTGGGTAAGCATTCATTGGAAGGACTAACAATATCGACAGGTGAATGGATTATGACGCCTGTCCACTGCGTCAAAATTTGTGACAAAGCATCGGGCGTTGCGAGACCTGGCCCGGCTGTGTTAGCCTCAGGCGTGTAAATTTTACCGTGGGTTAATGCAATAAGGTGGCCATGGCTGTGTTGGACAGGTGACCGTTTTACACGGTTAAGTTATAGGAAAGAAAACCTCAAAGGGGGGTGGGGGGGGGGAGGGGTGGAAAGTGGCCATTTGTACAGGTGCCCTGTCATGGCAGGTTCGACTATACACACACACACACACACACACATACACACATACACACACATATACACACATACAAACACACGCCAAACCCCCCCCCTGCCCCGGCCCCCCCCCCCCACTCCCTCTGTTGGCTAAGTGAATGAAGAAGCATGGGTATTCCTCAGCAAAGAACATGAATGATTTTAAATATATATATATACATGTAGACACACACATATATTATAATATAGTCAAAACCTGTGTGAAACGGCCACCCATTGTCAAGGAGAAAAGCGACCGTATAACACAGGTCGCCGTCTTAGGCAGGATTGATCAAAATGAAGAAAGCAAACCATTCATTCCCTTCTGAGTTTCAAATCGGTTCTGATCTCAGGCTTAAGACTGCCGTAAGGCGAATTCAAGAGTGTTTTTGTTTTCATTTGAAAAAAAAAAATTAGGAGGGGAGGGGAAAAGGGG